ATAAAAGCCAAAAGAGAGTGAAAGCAAATATTCAAACATCTGTAAGAGAGAAATTACCAGCTACAAATAATACATCCAACAAAATTAGCCTTTAAATATGAAGGAGAAATAAAGATGTTCCTGAAATACAGAAGCTGGGGAATTTTATTACCAGAAAACCTCCATTGCAGAAAATACTCAAGGGAGTTATTCTACCTGAAACAAAGAACATAAGGTCACAACACTATGAGTAAAATCACCAAAAAGCTTACAGCACAAACAGGGATAATTTGTGACAACACCAAACAATGCAATCAAAAAGTGGGCAGAGGGGCTGAAAATACACCTCTCCCAGGAAGACATAGCAACAGCCAATCCTATATAATAAAAGCCTAATATGCAAATTGACCAAACCACAGAATGACTGGTTGCTATGATGCGCATTGAACACCAGGGGGCAGAACTCAGCACAGGAGCTGCCCCCTGGTGGTCAGTGCGCTTGCACAGGAGGCGCACTGCTCAGCCAGAAGCAGGGCTATGGCTGGCGAGCACAGCAGGTGGTGGTGGAAGCCTCTCCTGCCTCTGCTGCAGGTGGGCAGGCGGTAAGGAGCGAGAGGTCTGAGAGCCCCCAACTGTGAGAGGGATGTCTGACTGCCGGCCATCCCCCTAGGGGTCCTGGACTGAAGAGGGCACAGGCTGGGCTGAGGGACTCCCCCCCGCCCCCTCAGCACAGTGCACAAACCTTGTGCACTGGGCCTCTAGTAGGCAATAATAAACTAAATGGGTTTCTTGCAACAAACAATTTTCAAAGCAAAAATTTCGGGTCTTTAAAAATATAGAAAGAGTAAGAAATAATTTTAATGAGGGAAACATACATTTTAATATGCTTGATACCATGTGAGTGGGTGTCTAAATGTACAAATTCCTATGCCTGACAAAATCTTTAAATGCCCCTCACTGTAATAATTCAAATGAAAACAAATTAAACATCAAAAACTTCTGCTCTTCCAAAGATACTGTTAAGGAAAAGAAAAAAGAAGCTAGAGACTGGGAGGAAATATTTGCAAGCATACACCCGATAAAGGACTTGTACCCAGAATTAAGAACTCTCAAAACGCAGTAAGAAAACAAACAACACCCCAAAGTGTGCAAAAGATCAAATCAGACAATTCACTGAGAAGACATACAGATGGCAAGGAAGAGCAGGAAAAGATACGCAGCATTGGAACCACAACGAATCCCTCCACGTCCCACTGGGATGGAAAAGGCAGAAAGGAAAAGGCTGATGGAGCCAAGGATCGCCAAGAGCGTGGGGAAGCGGGAGCTCTCACTCGGAGCAGGCGGGGATGGGACTGGTGCGACCACTTTAGAAAACAGTGTGCAGCTTCGTTCAAGTTCAGCACGCACCTAGTGTGATCCAGCCGTCCCTCCCCGAGAAAGGAAGGCGAGGTCCACACACACCTGTGCACGACTGTCCGCAGTCGCCTTCTCATAACAGTGACAAGCTGGGAACAACTCCCCACTCCTTCCTCAGCCCAGCTCCTGGCCATGCGTAATCCTGTCAGCCTGATGGCGACGAGATGAGATGCTGTCTCCAGCAGGTGTAAGGGAGGCTGTGCAGGTGTGAGGTGAGAGCGGGGGTGCAGGGGTGACTCTTGAGGGTGTCAGGTCCTGCAGCCCAGGCGGAGAACAGGCTCCAGGAAAACTGGCCCACGGAGCTTCCGACTGGTACTATGATGGGGCTGATACTCAGTAGAGACGCACACAGACTGACAGTCCCTCCACCCTGGTTGGCAGCTGGTCGCTGCCCGGAGCCCATGCCTGCATCTCACCCCCTGTCCCCATGGCCCAGCAACTGAGGGGGACACACTGCCCAACAGTGTGGCCGACGCCTGTTCAAATTGATTCTTGTTTGTACTGACCAGCTGTTAATATTCAGAATATTGCTCCTGGCTTCAGGAGTCTAAGTTGTTTTTTGTTTAAATATATTTTTATTGATTTCAGAGAGGAAGAGGGAGAAAAAGAAACACCAATGATGAGAGAGAATCATTGATCGGCTACCTCCTCCACGCCACCTACTGGGAATTGAACCTATAACCCGAGCACGTACCCTGACCAGGAATCAAACCTCGACCTCCTGGTTCATAGGTCAACACTCAACCGCTGAGCCACACTGGCCAGGCAGGATTCTAAGTGTTTGAGTGACCTCTTCTTGCTCTACTTCTGAACCTCTAGGGGGTACCGTGAAGGGATCGCCTACCTCAGTTATGATGCCTGTGCCCCTGAGGGCACGTACCTGTGTGTCTCTGTGATGCCTGTGCCCCTGAGGGCAGGTACCTGTGTGTCTCTATGATGCCTGTGCCCCCGAGGGCACGTACCTGTGTGTCTCTGTGATGCCTGTGCCCCAGAGGGCACGCACCTGTGTGTCTCTATGATGCCTGTGCTCCTTAGGGCACGTACCTGTGTGTCTCTGTGATGCCTGTGGCCCTGAGGGCAGGTACCTGTGTGTCTCTGTGATGCCTGTGTCCCTGAGGGCACATGTGTGTGTCTCTATGATGCCTGTGCTCCTGGGGGCAGGTGCCTGTGTGTCTCTGATGCCTGTG